AAAGGTGTTTCTGATGTACAAGTTTCAACTCTAGATTAGACTGGATAAATTTCATATCATATATATAAATAGGAATAACAGGAATCTTAAAGAACCTTCTAGATCATTGGTTCTCAACTGGGGACAATTTTTGCCCCTCATCCAGGGAGCATTTGTCAATACCTGAGGGCCTTTTTGGTTGTCACAATTGGGGGACAGGGGAGGAGCTACTGGCATCTAGTGCTCAACATATTACAATGTACAGGGCAGCCCCCATGACAAAGAATTTCCCGTGCTAAAATGTCAATAGTGCTGAGGTTCAGAAACTCTGCTCTAGACAATGCATATATACACACAGATAGAAAACAAGTGGTCTGAAGGTCAAAGTCATGCACTGGGGTCAGGGCCCACCAGAGGCCTCAGAAGGCAATCACAGTGTAAGAAAGGAAGCACATGTCCCCCTGGACCATGGCAGGAGACAAAAGGCAGCCTCTGGGAGCAGGGGTTCAGCTGGTTGCCACAGCAGGGAGAGGAGTGGGCTTAGAATTCATGCCTTGAGTAGAGTTGCAATGTGGTATCTGAAGACTTGTTTTTGTGATACTGTGGAAACTGCTGCTATGCATGTGGTCAGGGATATGCCATCTCCTCCAGAAAGCTGCCTTCATCCTCCAAATGGAAGTGAATCTCCCTCATCAGCACTCAGACTGTAGGTCTGACGCCTTTACTATCTCACCCACCACTACACCCTGCTATTAAGCCCCAGATTGGGCTGTAAGCTCCTTGAGGACAAGATTCGTGCATTTTCAAAGGTCTCTTCTTGGTGCACAGTACCCTAGCACATAGGAATACTGATAAAATCGTTGCTGAACTGCCATCACTGCTTTATTCTCCTCCCAATACTAGGAATTCTGCATGCATACATTTGAATAAAACATATAAAATGGGAAGAAAAAAAGGGAGTGATCTACTGTTTTCATCTGGGAAGATAATTTGGCAATGTCAATCTTTAAAGACCTATGTAGACTTTTGTTTCAATGCTCACCACCTGTTTGACTGCCTTCCCCCTTCTTTAATTTTGTTAGTAGTTTCCAGTAATAATGCAATTCATCTTGAAATTTCACTGCTGCATTTCATAAATGGGTCACAATCTTGGTGAATGTTTTTTAGACACAAATGCCTACAACCAAAGTATAGAGCAAAGTTTGCCTATCCTTCTAAACAACTCGAAAAATTTTTTAACCTCTAAAATGCATTAATTTGCTGATGGCTTTTCCCTGTAAGAAGTAGTTTGGCCCTGTTCAGCTTTTAGTTACAATAACAACAAAAAATCATTTTGGCTTCTCTCTGCTCTTCATATTCAAAATTAACCATCCTTTAGACTGATTGAGAAGGAATCAAGCATTTGTGCAACATAAGGTAATTTTCCATGTTAAAGTATTCTGGGCAGGTTCAGTACCTCCCTATTTTTTATATTCATAAAATGTAAGAAACTCAGCTCCAGCAATCCAAATATCTTAAATTTCACTTACAAAACAAATCATAGGGTATTCTTCACCCTACAAAACCAGTTATCAAAAGATTCAACCCAATATTGTTTTTATTTGGCAGCACCTACTCTCAAACCCATTTAAATTTATATCATATTTACACAGCTTTTCAGGAACCAGAAGAACTTTCTAAGAGCTAAAATGGAATGATGAATGAGCCAAACCCCTTAATTTTGCAAGTGAGGAAACTGAGGCTCAGAAGGCGATATGAACTCTCAAATCTATATACAAAGGGTCTTCAAAAAGTTCATGAAAAGATTCATACTACCTCTTAATTCTATTTTTCCACGAAGTTTTTGAAGTACCTTCATACAGTAATGATAATAGCTAGGGCCCATGGCTTCTCACAGTTACCACTTCCACCATGTCTAAACTGTCATTACATCTTGCTCAGACTGGTGCAGTAGTCTCCTAAGTCCTGTTTTTACCCTTCCTCTTACAAACCACCCTCCCCACAGCGGCCACTCCACACAATGGCCAGAGGCATGCATTTACAACAGAAGGCAAACTGTGTCACTCCTTTGCTCAGAACCTTCTATCACATCTCCCCTGAGGAAAAGCCAATTCTCACCACAGTCGACACATTTCTAAATATAGGTGATCCCTGGCTTACAATGGTTTGACTTCAATTTTTTTACTTTATGATGAAGCAAAAGCGATATGCATTAAGTAGCAACCGTACTTAGAGTACTCATACGACCATTCTGTTTTTCACTTTCAGTATTCAACAAACTACACGAGATATTCAACATTTTATTATATAATAGGCTTTATGTTAGATAATTTTGCCCAACTGTAAGCCAATGTAAGTGTTCTGAGCACATTTAATGTAGGCTAGGCTAAACTGTGATGTTCGATAGGTTAAGTATATTACCATTTTGCTTGAGATTTCCAGAACAATTTTATTTCTTATTCATTTTTTAAGTTAACATGTAATAATTGTTAGGTTAGGTGTATTAAATGCATTTTCAACTTAGCAATATTTTCAATTTCTGATGGTTTATTGGTATGTAACCCACAGTAGGCTGAGGAGCATCTGTACTCGTCTCTTCAGTCACTGTAACTTAGCCCTAACACTTTCTTCATGGGCTCCACCTTGGGAACTTGCCCTTACAGTTCCTTCTGCTAGCAACCTCCTCCTCCCCAGGTCCAAATGACTCACTCCCGTTCTTCCTTCAGGGGTCTTCTCGTATATCACTTTACTGTCATCATTGTCACCATCGCCATCAACACTGGTTCACAGATGAAGAAACTAAGGCACAGAGAAGTTTAGTAACTATTCCAAGATCACCCAGCTAGTCAATAGTAGAGGATATGAACCCAGAGCACCGGCTCTTTAACCACCATGATGTATTGTATCACTCTTAACTTAGTGACAAAGGGCTAATCTAATGCTTTTTCCCTAGACCAGACTCTCAGAAATTGAGATATACTAAAGTATGCTTTCAAAAAAATAGTTTCTTATAACTGCCTAATATTTTTAAATAATCAATAACGTGTATTTTGAGCTAAAACTGGTAAACAAGAGCAAAAATGTGAGTCACAACTGTGCTGCACTTCAGCCTCTAATTCAGAGAACAACCTCCACAAAGACTATGACTGAGGCTTACAGGCATGTGCAGGTCATTCTCCCTGCTCGACTGAGATTACCACGATTAGCTCTGGTCCATAAAGGGAAAACTAAGACACAAAAGCCGCAGAGATCTTCCAGGCCACACAGCCAATAACAGTGGCTGGAAGGGAGCCTCTTAGGGCCCCTCTGGGATTGCACTAGGTCACATATGCTCCCTGCTTATTAGCACAGAACAAGCTGGTGATTCACACAGTGGAATGCTTAAGCCAAGGATGTCACCTAATAGAGGGTATGTTGATACAGCTTTATCAACATACCCTCTATTACATAATCATCGTAATGTGGAAACGCCATAAAGGAATTTGTGCCTTGGAATAAAAGAGGGGTGTATCTGCTGGGAATTACTCCACAAAGGATATAAGATCTTCAGTGAGAAACTTACTACCCCAGACTGGGCAAGCAACTTGTGAAAAACACGGCCCAGTGGAGGCTCCCTGAGGACAGTCACTATGTCCAGTTACATTTGGTAAGATTTAGCCAGACCCCTCCCCAGAGAGCCTCCAGGGACCCCCAGACCTTCCACACGGAAGAGAGGCCTATTCTGTATCTGGCCTCCCGGGAGATAAAAGTGTTTACCTTCAGTCCTCTCTGCCTCTTTTTGGGGGGTCCAATATTTATTTGTGCAAGCCTTGAGAACTGTCGTTCTCTTTCTATTCCAGACGACCCAACACTCCCTTGATTACCACCCCCTCCCCCAAGTCTTCCCTCGACTTCGCCTTCCATCGTCCCACCTGCCACCAGGACGTGGCAGGAGGAAGGAGATTATTAGGAGGCTGGAAGGGAGGGGCGGGGGTGTCCTAAGCACCTGGCAGACCCGGGCCTTCA